CACTGCAAGGTTCCCCAATAATGATTGGAGACAAAGTTCCCTGAACACATAGGACACTTGGGGCTTGACCCACCACAAGGTTATATGAAGAGGCACAATGTAAAGTCATATGAAAATTATCAGAGATTGATCTACACCAGCAGCCCTGCCCTCGGTCCGGGGCCTCATACAGGGGAGTGGGGTAGGGTGACCAGACAGCAAATGTGAAAAATCGGGACGGGGGTGGGGGGTAATAGGAACCTATATAAGAAAAAGACCCAAAAATCGGGACTGTCCCTGTAAAATCAGGACATCTGGTCACCCTAGAGTGGGGACATGGGGCGGGGCAGGCAGGGCTGCATCTGGGGGCTGGGCAGTCCGAACGGGTAGGATATAGTGCAGGGGGAGGGGGGGAACATCTGGGGGCTGGAGGTTCCAGGGGCTGGGATATAGCGGGGGAGGGGACTATATCTCAGTGCTGGGGGGTCACAGGGACTGCAGGGGGACCTCAGGGCCATATCTCCAGCTGGGATATAGTGGGGGAGGGGGCAGTGTCCCGTGGCCCCTCCTTAACTGCTCCCTCCCCCTGGCTGCAGGAAGGCTGGAGCAGGTGTGAGGAGCTGTGGGTGCAACAGCTCCCCCTACAGGCCCGGGAGCAGCGCGGCACTGCCCAGCTGGCCTCCCTCCTCCAGGAGATGCACCGGCTGCTGGCGGACGGCTCGGAGCGCGCCATCCTTGCCAGGTAGCTGCCCCAGCCCCTGGGAGACACCCTGCCTTCTGGGCTCACCCCTGCACAGTTGGTGACCACCCACTCCTGGGAGACCGTCCCCTGCTGGGGAGACTTCCCGCTCCAGGGGTCCCCCTGGGCTGTGAGGGCCCCCTGGAGAGCGCTCCCTGTTGGGGAGACTACCCTGTTCCGTGGGGTCCCCCTGTGCTGTTGGGGCCTGTGGTGGGCACCCCCTGCCGGGGAGACATCCCCACCACCCAGGGTCCCTCCTGCATAGTCGGTGACCACCCACCCCTGGGAGAGTGCCCCCTGCTGGGAAGATTCCCTGCCCATGTGGTCCCCCCGCCCCAGACCTACAGAGTGCGCCCCCTGCTGGTCCCCATCTGCCCACTGAGCCGGCCTATCCCGCCCGGCCCCCAAGGCAGTGCTGGAGCTGCGGGCTGTGCGGCTGGCGGGGCTGCGGGATGGGCTGCACC